AGGATGTGGAGAAAAAGGAACCCTCGTGCACTGCTGGTGGGAATGCAGACTGGTGCAGCCATTGTGGAAAACAGTTTGGAGTTTCCTCAAAAATTAAAAATGGAACTACCATTTGATCCACTGATCCCACTTCTAAGAATATATCCCAAAAGTTCAAAAACACCCATCAGAAATAATATATACACCCCTATATTCATAGCAGCACACTTACAATAGCTAAAATTTCGATACAGCCTAAGTGCGCATCAGCAGATGAATGGATTAAAAAGCCATGGTCCATCTATACAACAGATACTATGCAGCTATAAAAAAAAAGAACTTTTACCATTTGCAACAGCATGGATGGACCTGGAGAAGATTATACTAAGCAAAATAAGCCCCAGTCAGAAAAAACTATACCACATGATCTCACTTATATGTGGAATCTAATGAACATAATAGAACCAGAGACATGACTGACAGATCTCAAAAGGGAGAGTGTGTGTGGGGAGGGACTGGATAAAAGAAGGTGAAGAGATTAGCCAAAGTACATATATGCATAGCCGATGGACAGAGACAACAGTGTGGTGATGGCCAGGGGGTGATGTTGGGGGAGGCAGGGACTGGGTAGAGATGGGCAAAGAGTGGGAAGATGGGGGAAATCTTTAATAGTGTCAACAATTTTTAAAAACCCATTGAGCCCTGACCAGTTTGGCTCAGTGGATGGAGCGTCAGTCTGTGGACTGAAGGGTCCCAGGTTCGATTCTGGTCAAGGGCATGTACCTTGGTTGTGGGCACATCCCCAGTAGGGGGGATGTAGGAGGCAGTTGATTGATGTTTCTCTCTCATTGATGTTTTTAACTATCCCTCTCCCTTCCTCTCTGTAAAAAATCAATAAAATATATTTTAAAAAAATATTTAAAAAACAACAACCCATTGAACAGGTGTGCCACATTGGCACAGCCATGGGTGAACCTGAGAGGGGGCGGTGAAGGATAGAGAAGACAGACAAAAGAATAAAGCTGGGGCTAGGTTGGACACTACTTCTCTGATGGAGAGACAGCACCATAGCCTGCAAAGCCAAGTCTCTATTTTATAGCCAGATTCCACGAGGCAAAGTAAGGGCGTGGTCAAGATGTTTACAATGTTCTTGCGGGTTTCAAATGTACTCAATTACCGTATTTGCCGGCGTATAAGACGATTTTTTGGCCCTGAAAAATATGCCTCCAAGTGGGGGGTCGTCTTATACGCCAGGTACACTTCAGATACACTGCCCATAGTGCTTGCCCCGTGCCATAGTGGCCTCCCGATGCCCGCCCACTTCATTCCACATACCATTCAGGCATCAGCAGCGCTGCTGGGTGTATGCTCGGCTGTTATGCGATTTTGCTGTTATGCGATTTTACCACACTCGCAAAATCGCACACAGCCGACCATAACCCCAGCAT